TCCATATAAAACAAACACTTAAAAGAATTATACTTACCTGATCAAAACTTGTTGGTCGCACTATACTCTGACGCTCGATCGATTATGGCGCGAAAAATTGTGAAAAAAATTGACACAGGTACGACGCTGAGGAGCGCTCGCGCAGTACTGAGTTTGGACGACCGGCGCATCGCATTTTGTAGTAATTTTGCAGTTGTATTTATCGTATTGATTGAAATAAGTGAATAAATTCATACTTTAAAATTATAAAATCTTTATTCCTCATGAAGTAACAATTGTTCTGGTATAAATTTTGCTTAGTAATATTATCGCAAATAGGAGTAAATCGCAATTAAGTTTATCGCGATTTTCGAAGATTTTTAGGTTTAGAATAAGATTATTTTCTATATTAAATCAAAGATATTTCAAAATTCTAAGGCCGCTACGAACTATACGACTATATAGGAGATAACATTCTCATTTTATTATTTAATTTGCTTAGAACAGTAGTTCAATCCAGGAGCTCAAAAAAGTGCCTTCGCGCATTTTATGAAAATCTTTCTCTGCAATTTTGAGTTTAATTAAAAAGTTAAGCAAAATTTACAAAAAGCGAGGCCGCTACGAACTAGGCTAATAGTTATTCTGCACTATTCAATAGGTCAAAATTGTCAATGTATATTTGTTTCTGAGATCAAGAACGCCATTTTATGCAAAAATCACAGTCGAGATGTAATATCCGAACGAACATTTTTAGTACCAAGTAAAAAAGAAACTATCAAACAGACGGTGTGGTAACATTAATGAGCTATACGACTCGATTTTGAAAGAGTGCAATTCTATTTCAGTTTAAACCTGCCAAAAGTTGACAGCGTTGATGCTGCGCCACTGTCATGCAGTTATCCACAGCTAAGGTCATGCCACTATAATATATACTATATATTATTAAATCCTTTGATTATTTACTCCTAGATAGAGAGTGGCAGCGCAGATGTCGATGAAAAAAATATTAGCCAACTGCTCGACTCTAAGTCGGTTCCCGTCACTTAGTGTTCAACATAACGCTGAGCGATACGCACGACAATAACAGAGTTTCGTGCTGAAATGTTGCTTTGAAATTCCGAGATGCGCGATAAATGTTCGCCGAAATTATAAAGGACGCATAAAAACAACTAACAAAGTCACTTACCATCGCTAAGTAACTCATTAATCCACTTAAAAAAAAATCTCATCAATATCATCTAAATCATAAAAAAAATACAACTCCAACTTGACATTTTCAAAATGATGTCAGTGTCTCATTACGAAATTCCCCAAAAAACTAAGTATGGCGTAATCTATTTTTTTACCGATTGCAGCAGTGCGATGGAAACTGCCATGCCACTATTTCCAGACTACCTAACGATCCCATAATGAAAAGTCGGTGGGTGGACGTCATAAGAAGTCGCGGAAAAGATTTCAGGCAACCAGCAGAAACTACGGCTATATGCTCAGATCATTTTAAAGTTAAAAAAAAATTTAAATAATTGTAAAACAAGCTTTGCGTCACAGAGGTATATATTGCATAATATGTCAAAATTTAAAGAGAAATAATATTAAACTACTAAATTCAAGGCCTTAATCATCATAATATGATAAAAAGAAGGTCCATTTTGTTCTTTGTTTCTATATTATAATTGTTAATCATCATAATATGATAAAATTTTGTTCTTTGTTTCTATATTATAATTGTTATTATTTTAGTCAAACTAAATAAACTGCAATAACTGCCCCACTGCTGGGCCTGTGCCCCAGCAGTGGGGACATTAATAGGCTGATGATGATGATGATGAAATAAAAATTTGTAACATTTTTTTTTTATTTCAAATATCCAAATATATATTTATACGTTTTACAGATGTTTTAATGTAAAAAAAAAACAATAAATTTTGGGGCTTCCACATAGTTCGAACTGAAACTGTTTTTCACCAAACCCATACGCGTGGGGTATCTAAGGATAGTTATTCAAAAATTATATGGAGGTGTCTGATATATTTTTTTTCTAAACTGAATAGGTTGCGCGAGAGACACTTCCAATGTGGTAAAATGCCCCCCCCCCCCCTCCCCACCCTCTGTAACTTCTAAAATAATGATAAAACTAAATAAAATATATGATGTACATCACCATGCAAAAACTTCCACCGATTGGTTTGATTGGTTTGAACGAGATCAAGTGAGTAGTTTTTTTTACACGTCATAAATCGAAAACCGCGATTTACCTTTCATTCAATCAACTTAAATATATAAAAAAAAAACATTTAATTTCATAAACGTAAACCTTATGCACCTTCCCACTTGTTGCTATGACAAAAATATTTAAATGACAGTTAATTAAAAAGTAAGAAATACAATATATTTCTTTATCGATTATGGTAGTCTTCCAAAGGAATTAAATGACAGTATAGCCAATATTTATCAAGAATATTATATTTATCAGAGATATTAGCTAGCAGTATTCGTTATACCTATGAAATATACGGAATTAGCTTACCAAAGCATAGAACTACTACATATAAATATGTATATGCAAACATCAGAACAGCTATTTAAAATTGAACAACGTAGGAACTCTGTGACAGCCGATAAGTAGTTTGAAGAACTTCCTGTTAAGTGAGTTTGTTACTTATGGGAACGGGCAGCTACGTTAGGTGCCTGTTCATAATTAACTACACCAAATGACATTGAGGTAGCCACTTAGGCGACAGGCTATGTGTCGCCATACATACTCCACCCGCCCGCCTCCCTAGCTGTTAATTCCAGGTCCTAAAGCAGTTGATCGGAAGTTTCGTTGCACTGGGTACACTAGGCACAGGTTATACACATTGAAATTATGTTCGCTTAATGCTGGCACCGATAAAAGCAACCAACAAATTATTTTTCTTATTTTATAAGTCGCCTTTTATATTTAAACTTAAATATTTTTGTACAGGTGGGTTAATAGCACAGAGAACGTAACCGCCGTGCTCAAGCAGAGTCGGCTCAGAAAAAAGCTCGCACGCAGTTTCAAGCTGAATTAATTCGCTACTGTAATTGTAATAATTTTTAAAATAGCGGGAGCCGTCCTTTTGGTTGCTTTCTATTATGTGCTAGTAGTCGGGTTGTCCCGTGTCACACACTCTAACATCACCATGCACCATCTGTAACCCATAACCATAACATGGTGTGTACGGTATATCACAGACGTGTGAAAAAATAACTGAATTCAACATGTTCTATCCATACAAACGGTGACATAACCTTATCCAATTCATATTACTTGATTTTTTCCCCAGAAAACACAGCCTGTTTTCCTTAATTATCGTTCAAAGTTGCCGCAAGTTTTGGAGCTTAGTGAATTATACATTGGTAATTAATAGGTTGTGGAAAAAATCTTTTCGCATGTGGTAAAACGGTAACAAAAGCTTATCCAATTCATATTACTTGATTTTTTCCCCAGAAAACACAGCCTGATTTTCTTAATTACCGTTCATAGTTGCCGCAAGTTTTGGAACTTAGTGAATTATACATTGTTTATTAATAGGTTGTGAAAAAAAACTTTTCACGTATGGTACTCGTATGTATGAACTTGTAATAAAATCTCTTTGGCTATACCATTTGTATCTGGCTGGTTTTGATATCATTAAATTTTAAAGAAGATATTTCCAAATTCAAATTAGAAAAATGTGTGATCTAAATTTGATTTTCTTACAGTCAAGATCAGTGAAACTAATGAAGAAATTTGATAAATTTTAAAATTTTACTACAAAAGGTAAAAGTGCAACGCAAGCCGCGAAAAAAATTGTGATGTTTATGGACCTAGTGCAGTGTCTGTGAGAGTAGCACAAATTTGGTTTAAGCGGTTTCAATCCGGCAATTTTGATGTCACAAATCTGTTACTTTCAACTTTGAATAACTCACAAAATATTAGTTTTACGAAAAAAACGTATATAACATTTTTTTCTTAGAATTACTTTTTCCGTCGATTCCTACAGTTAAAATGTAATAAAAAAATTCCACCCCCGAGATGGGGTGGCATCCACCCCCAAGGCTCTAGGCACAGGTCTACAGCGGTCTACAGCGGCATGATATAGAAAACGATCCTTGATTATATCCTAACCTAGCACCTTCAGATTTCCACCTGTTTCGGTCTCTTCAGAATTATTTAGGCAGTGTCAGGTTTAACATCACGAGAGGACTGATCAAATTATTAACTTTTTATTTTTACGTTCGGGATAAACTTATAGTATAATACTTTGCAAATTTCATCGCTACTAATCCTGATTTTTGTACTACAGAGTTTTAAAACATTAAAAAAAATGTGTATTATACTATAAATTTATCCCGAACGTAAAAAAGTTAATAATTTGACTTTCAGATGATTGCATAGCATACACAAAGTTGACGTCACACAGTAGACGTCGAACCGAGCGTTATGGCGGTATATTCAAAACCATTAAAAATATATTCAACTTTAATTGGTTTAATGGAGAAAAAAAGACACTAATTAATTTATTTTTATTTTTCTGTTAAATCGTTTGTCCCAATCTTTAAACATAAGCAGTTTTAAAAATTTTGGAAAAGACCCTATTATGGAGATATGAAGAGACTTTACTGTAGATCTCAAAAGAAGGTCACACAGCGAGCTAAAGAGGGAGCGATGCACGGTAAATCCCTACACGATATAATCATAAATGAGGAAATACGCAGGTGAACTAAGGTAACCGACATTGTTTGAAGGATTACTCTGCTGAAGTGGCAACGAGTGGGACTAGTAGCAAAGAGAACCGATGGCCGCTGGGGCGGAAAAGTTCTCGAATGGCAATCGCTCACCGGACGACGCACAGGGGGTAGGATGTCGACGATGTTGTGAAGATTGCGGGAAGCCGATGGATGCGAGGTGGCGAAGGATCTTTCAGTGTGGGGATCCTTGCAGGAGGCCTATGCTCAGCAGTGGTACTCGTGGTGATACTCGTACTGATACTCGTGGTGATACGATGTGTACTTACAGAGGTCTAGGGCGTGCGCGCCCGCCGCTAGCAGTAGCACCGCCAGAGCAGTGGCCGCCATCGCACCGTCACTACGCCATCTCACCGACGCCGTCTGGCCCGCACTGTTAACATACCAAATATATTAAACTCGTGGTTACCGCATATCAATGTGTAATAAAGCACAGTCTAGATGGGAACGAAATTTACAATCATGGTTACAGGACCACTTTGTAGTTAAACAAGGTTAGCCAATTAGCTGCGCATTGGGTTTGTTATAATGGTCACATAATGTTCAAATAAAATAGATTTTTCATGGAGATAGAAAATCGCTGTCGGCCATTTTAGTCTATAGATTATCTATGCTATGACGTCAAATAAATCTTAAACAAATATTCAGTAGGAAATAACCTGAATCTAAATTTTATATACGAGAATGTAGAAACACATCGTTGAAGACTTCAGAAAAGTGAACCTACACATGAACACAGTCATGTTTAAAACTTGCTAAATCCTGTAATTGTACCGTCTGAAAGTCATTTCTTTTAGCAAATATCACTTTAATGTGAGTACTCATTTAATAATATTTAAATTTGAAAATCCGGCGTCCCGCTTTAATTTAGTCAACAAAACCAATAAACGGAAAATTTTCTACAAAATATGGAAAATTTTCTACAAAATATAAGAGTTTTTAGATATATTTTAGTCCGACGAAAGACACCACAGTAACACGACAATGACGTTTAGTTGTTTACTAACACATTTACTAATTTGTTGACGTCCCAATCATGGTGGACAGCGTTTTGAGTGTTTAGAAAGCATAGACTAAAAAACATTTTTCAAATTAAATTACTACAGCCATCTTCTTATTTTATGAAGCGAAATCAATGTATTTAGGTTCCTCATACCACACGAGTCAACTAGCCTATTAATCGAAAGTTTTGTATTAACCGACCTAATTTTGACCTAAATTTAACCGATCTCACACCTCAAGTGAGGCTATATTTACCGAAACGGTTTTACGCGCTGACCCGTTATCTATAGAATTGTTGATCGAAGCGTTTTCACGTCGAAACTAGCGCTGACCTTTATTGCGCAGAAGTAAAAATTACGATGTCATGGGGGGAAACGAGATGCGCGGGCGGGCGTGCGTTGCACCGATTGGCTCTCCAGTCGTACTCAGTCCCCCGTACTGATACGACACACCGCGCACTTCCAATGCACAGTTCCTTTTTAAATTGTTTTGTTGTTATTGTTAATTTATGTTAAGTTTGTTTTGTTGATTCGTTTCTTCGTTTCGTTTCATCTGTAAGTTAATTTACGGTTTTATAAAGTTTGAACAGTTTTTAAAACGTAAAAATGTCGAGATTAAATACTGTTTTGAGAAGAAAGGCACAAAAAACTGTGTATTACGTGCATTGTTTTTTGAAAAGGAATTCTATTGACTTCATTGATTTCTTAAAACAAATCCAAAGTGAAATTGGCGAAGCTACGAATATTTTACTCGATCCGGACAGCAGCACTGTAGATTTAAGCCAAATAAAACAAACTGCAGAAGTTATTCAGGCGGAAAATATGAAATTATATAGTATAATTAGTGACTTAGAAAGAAAATCCAAAAAAGGACAGCTGAGTCTACAAAAACTTCCATAGCAACGGTAAGGAAAATTTCCATTGAAACCAATAGTTCCGATTTAATATCAGTATTTAGAACACCAGACAAAAAAATTTAGTGGTGCGGGGGTGGGAGAAGACGTTGATAATTTATATAGCAGGCCCTCATGCCATACGCTATCAAACGCCTTCTCCATATCAAGTAGCACCATCACAGTGAATTCTTTTTTGTTCATCTTAGTAGCAAGGTCATGCAGCATCCTTGTTAGTTGAAGCGTGGTAGAATGGCCCGAACGGAAACCAAACTGTTCGGGCCGTGGCGTCGTAAAAGTATTTAATTTTTCTAATAAAAGTTTTTCGAAAATTTTGGATGCAGTTGGTAGTAGGGTTATTGGGCGGTAGCTACTGGGTTTAGTTGGATCTTTGCCCGGTTTGTGTAGCATTATCACTTTCCCGGTCTTCCAGCTAGTCGGAAAGTGGCCGGTACGAAGCGCTCCGTTATAAATGCGTGTCAGTGCTGCGACGCTTTTGGGCGGTAAGTGACGGAGGGCGGCGTTTGTGATATTGATGATGATTTGTGACTGCTTAAAACTATAGCGTCATTTCTACAAAATAGAAATTTCTGTGTCACGGTAGAGGGACAAAATTCGACCACGCGCCCTATACTAGCAGGAGTACCACAGGGTAGCTGTTTATCCCCTACCCTGTACACAGTCTATACAGATGACATCCCAGTGCTGGGCGAGACGAAGTTGGCCCTATATGCTGACGACACCGCCTACACTACCGCCTCCATCCGCCCACGCCACGCCGCGGAGAAAATGCAGCCGACGCTGGACGCCTTAATCCCATGGCTTAACAAGTGGCGATTAACAATAAACGTCGCTAAGACACAAGCGATGGTGATAGGCAACCAACGCATACAGCCGCCACCACTATACATCAATAACGTGACCATCCCGTGGATACGCCAAGCAAAATATCTCGGGATAACGATCGATGCAAAATTAAACATGAAAACACACATAAACAACACCATCGCAAAAGCGAAAGCTGCCCGAGCAAAGCTCAGACCCATATTCCGCAGCTCAATGTGGTATGCGCTGGTGGCGGACACACAGCGAAAACGCCTAAGCGCCCAGCAAAACCACACACTACGATTAATAACAAACGCGGGCCACTTTGTTAGAAACGCTACCCTCCACAAAGACCTTAATATTGAAACATTACATGAATTCATTTCTAGATTAGCCACAGGTATGTTCGAGAGAGCGGACGGCTCGGCGCACGCGCACTTGCGCGGCATCGCGCCGACGCACGACCGCCACCGCACACCCCGCACCAGCCGAGCGCTCCCAAGGGAAATCCTGCCGCCGCAAGACGACGAAAAACCACCGGACTGACGATGGCCCCGCTCGTAATGCATGTTATACAAAAATAGAAAAAAAAAAAAGTATAACTGTGTTATGAGCGGGCCAACCAACCTGACTACCTACAAACCCACGACAACAACAACCTACAATGATGTCCTATCCTCCCTCACCCAAGTCCGCCGCCCGCTCGCTGGTCGCTCACTGGGCCTCCCCTAAGGGTCTCACCCGGTGGGCTAGACCGCGCCGAGGGCGGTGTGTGAAGAGTGTGGATGACGGACCCCGAGGACCGCTCCGTCCCGATGACGGAGTGCGATACCGATACGACTGAAGTGGGCCATCCGGCCCAGAACAGTTTCCCCGCACGCCGCGGCGCCTACGGCGCCGGCGACGCGCGAGAAGAAGATAGCGTATATCGGGTCATTAACTTTTGAATTATCGAACTGCAAACAACTGAATCGGGAAGAAGTCAGCCAGTATGGAGAAAATTGAATACCGCGCCGTTATTAAGTTCCTTACCAAGCAAGGAAAATCCGCTCAGATTATTTTTCAAGAGCTGTTGGCGGTTTACGCGGACTCTGCCCTTGGTAAAACCATGATTTACAAGTGGCATGGTCTTTTCAAACAAGGAAGAGAGTCCATTGAAGACGACCCCCGCTCCGAACGGCCAATTGAGGCCACCACACCGGAAATCGTCAAAAAGGTGAAAAACTTGTATTGGAAGATGCCCGGTTGAGGAAGAAGCAGCTTGCAGCAATGATTGGAGTATGCGAAACAAGTATTTTGAATACTCTACATCATCATCTTGGGATGACTAAGGTCAGTGCAAGATGGGTTCCGAGAATGCTTACGCCACTTCAAAAACGCGAGCGTGTCGAGTGTTCTCGCCAGTTTTTGGAGCTCTGTGGAGAGAGAAAGGAAGAAGTTATGGCCCGAATCGTTACTGGTGATGAAACCTGGGTTCACCACTATGAACCCGAGTCAAAGCAAGAGTCGATGCAGTGGCACAAAAATGGCACACCTCCTCCAAAGAAGTTCAAAGTGACACAATCGGCTGGCAAGATCATGGCGACTGTCTTTTGGGATACAGAAGGTATTTTACTGATCGATTATAAAGAACGTGGTGTGCCTATAACGGGACAGTACGACGCTTCTTTACTAGAAAGATTTAAAGAAGCCATCAAGGAAAAAAGAAGAGGAAAGCTGTCAAAAGGTGTGCTCCTTCTGCACGACAATGCACCCGTTTACACGTGCCATATTGCGATGGCTGCCATTCACCAAAGCGGCTTCGAAGAATTGAACCACCCACCCTACAGTCCAGACTTGACACCCTGTGACTATTATTTATTTCCAAAAATGAAGAAAGAGCTGCGTGGAAAAAAAATTGACAACGATGAAGAAGTGAAGTCCGCAATTTCGCCCTATTTTGACACCAAAGACAAATCATTTTTTTTCGATGGTATAAACAAGTTATTTGAGAGATCTGAAAAATGTATTAGGGTTAAGGGAGAATATGTTGAAAAGGAAAAATAGTTTGGTGTTTCATTTCAACCTCCTTCCCTCTTATTCCGCGAACTTTTTGACCTCCCCTCGTATATTGAAAACCACATGAAAATGTTAAGTAATTTATGATGATAATTATTATCCTTGCGAACATACAGACAGACGCAGTGAGAAACTTTGTTTTTAGAGATAGTGTTATGGATGATAGTAGGGTTATTTTCGCATACATATTTTATTAGTACAGAAGATCGAAATGACGTATAACGTTTATTCCCCAGCAATAGTAAATACGCAAACCCTATGAAGATTATAAATTTATGATGCGGCAGCGACAACTTCGCAATTCAAATATGAATATCTAATGAGTGTGGTATATTGCGAGGCGTTACTCCATCGCGACACCATCCTACGGAAATATTTCCACTAATAAAAGGTGAATATATGATTGGAGAAGATATTTTTATTGCTGAAGCGACGGCTGTTTGGTTACCTCTACGTATAAAACATATTTTTATGACAAAAGGGCCGCAGACAGGTATGATGTTAGCCTCCATTAACTCTATGGAAGTTGCTACGATACGCTGCCTACTTTGACTCTACCGTCCTACCGCGTGGAATTCTGGCAACCCAATTTACTA